AAAAGTAATATTGATTGTGTACGCGCAGCTTAAGACACTCTGTACACTCAACACTATACCTACCAGTTTATCTTCATTGTTCACTATTTTGTGCTCAATCAAGTTGTCATAAATTTAAAATATATATTAATATGTGCCCAAGCAAGTCACCACCAAAGTTTCTTTATTCTTAATTTAAAAAAAATTTACTTTTCTCAGCTGTTGTGTCATATCATCCTCAGTAATGTCACTAATATATCTCTTACTGCTTGTGCAAGTTTCTGTACGGTTTGCTTGAGAATGTTTGTTTAGTTTTCAAAAAATCTATTTTTTATGTAACTAAAAAGGTTTTATTTTATTTTAAAAAATATATAGGCACTTACGGTTATGAATCATTGGTGTTATTTGATATTATATTGTGTTGTCTGTTTGTTGAGGGTTTTTTTGGATTTGTATTTTTTTTTAATAAATAGGAAAATCAAATATTGGAGTAGGTATTATATAATTTTTAATTTTTTTATGAGAGCTCCAAAGAGCAGGTAAAATGTTCAGAACAAAGTTAGATTGTTTTCTTGCTGCTTGGTGTAAAATTATCTCTTCGCATAACATGGATCCATTAAGATTTTATATTTATGGTTCTATTCAAAGTAAATTGATACTAATCAATATTAAAAAATTGTAATATGCATATTTAATATAGAGTTATAGTAGACAATATTAAAATATAATTAATTACTAAAAATATACAACCAATTTCTTTTTAATATAATTTAAATTTAATCTTAAAATAATAAAATAACTTTTTTATATTATTTTTTTTATTGTATGTGTTGAAGATACAAATTACAAAAACAATTTACTAATACAAATATAATAGATTGATTGTAATAATGTTATTATGTTCGTATAAATATAATATAATCAAGTTTTTATATTATATTTTATCATTTTCGTTACAATGACAATGGGTTATTATTAATTGCTATAATGAGGGAAATTACAGAAGTGGCAATTATTTCCTCGCCGTCCATTACTGACGCTGTATGTTAGGTATAGTAAATTTCTTTAACGAAACAATTATTATCCATTTTAGTGTACACAATTAAAAAATCAAACAAGAAGCTGAATTTCCTTGGTTCAAAATAGTTACAGTGCTCAGAACTACATACATTTGCATAATATATTTTTATAACCAAATATCCAAAATCTGATTTGATACAAATTCTTTTCATGATACATAGAATCAAATTACATAAATTTATGTTCCATATTTTTTAATTTAATATAATTTTGTATATTTAAAGATTTTTAAGCATATTAATGTATAATATTATGTTTATAATTTAATATAAATTAACAACAAAAAAATTGTTTATACTATACAGAGTATTAATTATAAATTGGTTATGATTTAATGTTTTATTTGACATCTTTTCAATAAAAAAAGTTTCATTTTTACCAAGAGCTCGTGGCATCCATAGAGTTTTGGAGGAAGTACAAGTGCAAAATGGTACTGTTCATAAAACTGTATGTAAAAAACATTTTTGAAAGGGTAACATTACTTATACGAATTTTCAAAAATTACGCACTGGATATCCCTTCATATATATTACGTTGTAATCTGTAGGTATGAATGTATTAGGTGTATCATATTCATATATATGTATATTATTTAGTATTCTGTAAGTATTTCATATAGAAATACGTCTATTCCTTGACATTTTCTTATTCACTGGATAACATTTATATATCATATTATAGTCTATGATTAGGATATCTCAATATTCTATTTATACTTTCTAACTATACTATTGCTAGTTGGGTAATATGATGTCATAGGGTTAAAAGCCATTTAATATAATCGTTAAGAACATAAGGAACCAAAACCTATGGCTACGTGTATTTGCTTGTAGTAGAGATCTAATGTGGTAGAAGTTAATTATTATGAAAATGAAATTTATATTGTGTTCCAGATGGTCATTTTATAAAAATTAAGTTTTCCCAGCTAAAAAAGAGCAGCATTTTTCCACCAAAACAAGAATCATGAATTGCATTCCAGCAACAAGTATTTGTTCAGCAAATATAATCCTAGTTATTAAAAGATTAATTGATTGATGTTTGCTTGAATATTGAATGGTGCATTGTAGCAGCCCATGGATTTGCTTTCAGTAATGAGGGAAATTACAGAAGTGGCAATTATTTCCTCGCCGTCCATTACTGACAGTGTATGTTAGGTATAGTAAAATGTTTAACTAAACAGTTATTACCCATTTTAGTGTACACAATTAAAGAATCAAACAAGATGCTGAATTTCCTTGGTTTAAAATAGTTACATATAGGTTTTGGTTCCTTATGTTCTTGACGATTACATTAAATGGCTTTTAATAATTGTTTAGAAAAAATTAAAATTGTATCTATAATAATATCTATAAAATATTGATAGTCTGTGTATAATTAAATTATTATATATATTATTACTATGTTTCTTATACTAAATACATTTTAATTTTTGCGATTTCAAATTATTATCTATAAATTTCTTACCAACATCTTTCCCAATTTTACAAGCTCTTAAAAAATAAAAATCTGTTTGTTTGGAAAATCTTGTTTTTCATTCAACTTTTTTGGATTTTTTTTGGGCCACGTGCATGTATTTTTACGATGCCAAATTGATGGAACTGCTTCAATAGAGTTATAATTTTCAAAAATTATTACTGACCACATCATCAAATTGTACCTATTATAAGAATGAATAGGTGATTAAGTTTATACTCAATATTACATTATTACATAATATATATTGTAATTTATTATTTCCCTACTATTTCTTTATTGTCCACTTAATATCTGAATGTAACACACCTTAATGTGTTTTTCATTATACTTAAATATCATATTAAAGATATAATTTAAGGTTTACTCATGTATGGTATAGTTATCTAAATCAATTTTAGTAGTCTTGTTCATTTGAACGAAATTGGGGAAATGAATTGTTTGGATTAATTAGCACGTGTTAGATTAACAAGACCCTAATGTATAATAACTGTAAACTGAAATATAATATAGAATATATTTGTTTTCTATTTTTAGTCTTAACATAAAATGGGTTATCTCTTTTAATTCATTCAAGACTTCTAACAGTACGCACTTATTCAAATTAAAGTAAGATGGAATAAATTACTCAGAAACAAATAATGGCTTTATTAATTTCTAAATATGTATTTAACAAAGAAAAATAAGCAAATAAAATTACAAAAAAAAAAAAATGCTGTTTACTATTATATAATTTTATATAATTAAATGTAATTAATAACTTTTCTTAGTGTATTGTATACATTTATATAATATTTAATAATAATCATACAATTCAAATTACGTTTTAGTGTTTAACATTTATAGTTTAAAAAGGTATCTAGATTTTACAATGTTAAGAACTACCTGCATCTATTATTTATTACAAGAATGTAATAATGGAAAAACAATTAAATTTTCACCAGAGGGGAAAACACAAACTTTTTTTAAATATCTTTAATATTAAATGAAATTAATTTATCATTTAATTTATTAACCACATAAATATTTAAATATGTTGACTCAATTGGTTTTTTAAATAAGGTGAAAGGATTTATAAATTATTACATATTATAATAGCTTATAATGTTAAAAACTTTAACTATATTGTTATCTTTGGTTAAAACTTAAGAATCTGTTTCAAAGTGCGTTTTAAGTGTAAACCTATTGCATTTATAAGTGGTGAATTGTGAATTTATAGTTACAATATCTAACAATGGACCTTTATTATGGAGCCCGGAAAAATAAAAATTTTTTCTCTGTATTACAAGGAATTGAAGAAATTTTCATTATACCTATTAATAATTTGTTCCAGTGGCTTATCTGGTTTTCTCAACATCCTTTTTAAAGTACCCTTATAGTTTTCAAATGGAAAGGTTGAACATTGATCTAGTGGACCAAAATCAGTGTAACCATCACATTTATATGTGTTAATCCATGTATATTATGTGAAATTAAATAACTACCATTTAAAATTTGAAAGTTTTCAACAAAAGATTCTAATAATTTACGAACATAATTTATATATTCACTGAAATCTGGGCTTAATAATATGATCATAGATATGCTTAAATTGAGAAAATGTTTCCAATGAGCATTAGATATAACTGGTTTTTTAATTATAGCACCTACATCAACAAAAAAAGTACGGAATTCTGTGGCCTTCCCCCGATTAACTTGATCAGAACCTCTAGTTTTACGGGCAATTTCACAAAAAATATGTATTTTTAAACGGTTCATTGAAATTGACATTTCATTTATCTTCCATGAAGGCTAACGCACTTTAATTGGGCCTTTGATCCATAAATTAATTAGTTTACGGACTGTAACTAGACAAACTAAATGGAGATAATCCTTAGAAAACGCATAAACAACATCAAAGTTAGGTAATGTAGCAATTATTGAATTATTTTTTATATGATGATCCTCATTTAAGCATGTTATATAATTTTGATGAGTGCGTTTAGGGGGACATATTTCTGGTGTTAGGTATGGAAAACAAACTCTATTTTGAATTTATTCTCCTTCATGTTCACACCTGGAGCATGAAGAAAAACCAGAATGTCCTTTAGTCCTTAAAACATAAGACCAATCATTAGTAAGTTTACTTTTGAGTTGTTCATCACACAAAAACAAGACAAAGGTAGAATAATAACTGGTCATTGTTGTTGTTCTTTTCGTATAAGAAAAATAGCATTATATTTGTACTCAAAATATTTATAAATACAATATAGTTAATATAAATAATAGTACAGCTATAATATAATAAAAAAAAAGAATATAATCTTTTAATGTAAAAAAAAAGAGAGAAGGCTATTGAATGTTTAATGTCGGTAATGATACATTTGGATATTTCTTATTGATTTACATAAATGAAAATGTATTGAGGGTTGTTACTATTTTAGTAGGGTAATCAAATAAATGCATGATCTTCTCTTTTCCAACTATTCTTATTCCGCTCTAGATATCGCTTTGGCTTGTGCTCGAACACGATTGGAATATTCTGAACTATCTTTGCTAAAAAAAGTTATAAAAATTAAAATTCCATTTAAATTTTTTTTAAACTTATTTTTATATTAAAAAGTAATTACCGATAAATATTATAGGCTTCAAAATTTGCAGGATCTTTGATAAAGGGTTCATTTAAAAGATATTGTATCCCCAACAATAACTGCTTAATAGTAATACCTGGATACCAATCTTTTTCTACGTCCAACAGTGATAAGCATACTGTGCCTAGTAAATCATAAATAATCATGATTAATATTTACAAATTGAATTTTAAAATTATATTATAGATATAAATAATTAAGATAACTTATATTATATTTACCCAGAAGGGTAAATATTGGGGTGGAATAATGGAGGCTCAAATTTGCATTTTGGTGGACTCCATGGATAATCGTCCTTGAAGGTCATACGTAAGAAATACGATCCATTTTCCCAAGGAGACTAAATAAAAATATTAATATAAAAAATTATTTTTAAATGTAATAAATACATACATATTAACATATTTATACATACATACATCGGACATTATTTTTTTTTAATTCCAAGCAGAACATTAAATATATAAGTTCTAGTGTTTATTTTTTAGATATATAATATATATTTTTTTGTCTGAACACACATTATAAAAGAAAAAAAATACTCCTATCCTAAACTTCAAAGGAAGTTTCTGGTAGCAAATTCAATTTACTATAAATTTAATAAAATCTCCTTTCCGTTACTTTTCAAAATAAATGGAAAAACAAAAAAAAATTATGAAAAACCTATTTAAAAACTAGAATTAATACACAAAACTTTTGACAAAGTTGATGTTGTTTTAGTATTGTAATTCAAAAATAAATAATCACATACTTGAAATTTTCAATGTACAAGTCAATCTTAAAGGCTCTTAGACTTTGAAACAAAATTAGAACTATAATTACAAATATAAAAGATATTCTCAAAAATAGGTAAAATTTTGTTACAAATATCATGGGCTACAAAATGGATTTGTACATAGCAGTCCATGACAACTATATTAAACAAATAAAAACATTGAATACAGTTTGAAAGATTAGTGTGTTCTTTATCGCCTATTGGATTAGCATCAGTAATCAAAGTGTGAAAACCATACAATTTTACAATATTAGGCTCTACTTTTGAATACCTATATAAGTTACTTTCATTCATTCAAAATTAAACAGACTTAAAAATTGTAATATATTTTTTTATAAATTTAAAACTATGTGCATTTTTGTAATTTAGACCGTGATAAAAAGGGAGCATTATTCTTATAACAGTTTTTTTTTTTTTATAGTCAAAATTGCATTAAAAAAACTGCACTACAATATCTGCATAATATTTCAAACCAGAGCTGCAAACCCTAATTAATTAACATCCTTTATGTAATGTACAATAAGAATTTTATGAATGCAGAAAATCATATTTTAAAGGTATACAAAATGATTTTAACTATATTAATTAATTTATATAAAATAGCTAGGAAACAGATATAGGTATGCTCAAAACTAGAACATAATACCATGTTTTTAATTTAGTAGACATTTTTTTGGTATCTGGAAATCACAATCAGATGACAGATGTATAATTAGATAAACAAATGTTATTAATACTTACACCCATTTTTCCAGGTATATAGCATTCCCAAACCATAAGGTTCAATGAACCATCTTGTTGTTTGGCTGGTTTAGCCACAAAATCCTTGATATAAAAAAAAATTGTTTTATTACATGTAGACAAGTAGTATTTTACAACATATTAGTACTCACAAATGGATGACTTTTCCTCCATGCTTACGTTCTTTTAATAATCGATTTACTGCAATACTAGACATTTTTCTGTAAAAAATAATAGAATTTGAAGACAATTCATATAAGTTTAAATAATACCACATACATTCAAAAATGTTCAGAAATTCTATTCAATAACCAATTAATGGTAGTAACTATTTTAAATTGACTATACCTACTTTATTATGTGACATGCATTCACTATTTATGTATCTGTTTTAAACATTAATTTTAAATATTATCTCTAGTCATTAGTATTTTAGTATATAAATTTATAATTTCGCTCGCGAACAGTTGGACAGTTTAAATTATATAACTGATAACTACTGTAGCACAACAACAAATAGACATATTTGATTGCGATTTTCTGTAACCTACTCGTCAACTAGTTAATTGGTATATAATGTGCAAATTGTTAAGTTATTTGATATCACACTGTAGAGTTAAATCGTCTTAATTATTACAAAGCATTGGGTGACTTCGGACAACACATTAACTATGCCAAGATCCTAAGTAAATAATGTAGTTGATGCTGTTGGATATAAAAAATGACAATACGACAAGTAAAAACAGAGAAGTAAAAAAGCTGTCACATGCCTACTGAAGGATCTGACCGTCAAAAAGCTTCGACCATACCTTGTCGTTTATATAATATGACATAATATATGTCATATTAAATAAGCCCCTACATATGAAACATAACAAGAGATGAAAACATAACAGTTTTAAGTGCCAAAATCTAAATCTATCTAAAGGGTTCAAGTACAATTAAATTGAAAAATATTTAATAAAATATCAAATACCTATCGAACCTGCAGTTTATACTAACCTGATACGTACACCTAAGGGAACGTAACACTTGCTACTTTAGGCGTACGAAATACATCTGTTAGTAAATAAAGTATCAAAAAACATTTTCTGAGTAGTCCGTCGACAAAATTTGACATATCCGACGAATATTTGCACTCAGTGATATGGCTACCTTAGGGGTAATCGTTTAATTCAACACATCGCTCGGATATCATATCTGAAATACACATTTCTACAAAGGACGCATAATATAACTAATCACAAAAAATGTTGTCCAAACTGGATCCCCCAAGATCAGCCAATGAACATGGTGTAAAACTGTTCAAGTTATATGCCCATTTATTAGAACTGTATGAAATATGAAAGGCGTCTAAGCTTCAATGGCATCCCTCTACTTATTCTGAGCCACTTAGACCAAAAAAGATATATAATTTTAAAGCTTTATTATGTATACCTAGTAGAATATAATAATATAAATAAAAGTTTGAAGTCCACACAAACTATATTGTGAGAGTTCGTTTTTTACGTCACCAAAACCACCCATGAGGAAAGGGGAACACTTTCCTCATGACCTGTGAGCCGCACCGCGTGAGACCCGAGGGTCAAGTCGGTGGAACTCACAGGCATTGATACACGCATTGGTGATTGAACGCCAAAGATTTATGTTGGGAGAGAGAAGAAAAAAAAAATAAGTTAATGAAAATAAATAATAAGAGTAGTATTAGGGTAATAACGTGGATGTATTTTACAGGTTTTTTGATTGTAGATAATTTAAATAAAGATTTTAACATTTTTCTTTTTAACAAAATAATATATAAAGTGTCACATGACAAATACAAAAAATATAATAGGGAAAAGGAAACTTGATGAACTTTAGCAGCAAGTCACGTGGTTTTTCCGGCCCACGGGAGGCGACACATCATATTTCTCATGATGTGTCCTCGCAGGGTTACTGGAAAAAACAACGCGCTTCGCACAGAGTGTGAGGCACAAGGTGTTCGTTTTATTGAATTTTGGGGCTCAGGTGAGCGGCTTGCGACAGCTAAGGAAAATTAAAGAAAAAGAAAAAAATGGACTCGCGTCTTGCGACGTCGATAAATTGTGCTTTTACAAGGGAGGGACAGAGGGGAAAGAATAGTTACGACTTTTGAGCTGCACATGGTTGATCGACGTGGTGTTGGCTCCGCCCGCCTCGGGCCCATAGTGGTTGGCTTAGCCCATCATTTTGGCTGGTGACTGGGTTGAAAACGTGGTATTGTGTGCGATGACTCGGCTCACGAGGTATCCGGCAGGCAATCGGCAGCTCTTAACAAAAAAAATGCGGATGGAGACGTCTGTTGTTGTCGCCGTTGAAAAACGAAGAACGAAGAACGAAGTACGAAGAACGAAAAGACGAAGACGAAATCGAAGACGAAGTCGAAGTCGAAATGTAGAGTCGAAGAACGAAATCGAAAACGAAGTCGAAGTCGAAATGCAGAGCTCGAAATGTAGAGGTCGAAAACGAAATGTAGAGTTGAGTGTCGAGAACGAAAAGTCGAATCGAAGTGTCGAGCGGTCGGCGACGGTGGTTTGCCGTAGCCCTTAGGCCGTCGACGGAACTTGGTGCTTCTTTTGTGTAGTGGATCAGGTCAGTGTCGTACTTTTGCGGGTATATTACAATTAAATTGTGGGAGTACAGTATTGCCTGCGGGCCGACGAACACTGCATGATGAAAGGGGGAACGGGGAACATTTATTGCATAACACTGCGGTCATTTGTGCATTAGCGCGCGATATCTACGTTTTATTACTAATGTTTATAGGACTAAAGGTGAGTTGACTTGTCAACAACGTTAGCAATAGGTGTGTTCGGGGAATGTTATTATGATTTATAAGGCTGAAAATTCCGTGACGTTACAATATTTTTAATTAGGAAGAATGACATAACTAAAATTGTTATTCTTCTTTTAAATATTAAATTTAATTTAAACTTAAATATCTATTTAATGTCTTTTGGGTTCCAGTATAAACTATTTATGATTAACTTTGTATTTAATTTTAAAGTTTTAAGTAAACATAATGTATTTTAAATATATTTCAATTGTATAAAGAAAAATGTAGGTGGGATCTTGTATCAAATTTTCAAGTTTGGTTAATTTTAAATGATAATAAAATACATTTTCTGTCTGTTTTTTTTTATTTGCTATAAGTTAAAATTACAAGTAACCTGTATTGATTTTTTAAAGTTTATACTAAGGGGCACTAAAAATGTATAAGAGAATAAATAATATAAAAAAATAATTTAATAACTAGGTACCTAAGTATCAAAAATATTCTGACACGTATCGCCTGACGAATAAATATTTTGAATATTTAAAGTATTTACATAAATGTATTTGAATTGCATATACAAATACTTCCAATACAGTATTTAAAATACTTTCCAAATACTTAATTCAAAAAGTATGAAAATACATTTACTCCAATACTTAACCAGACTGTAAAGTGTAAACTAACAAATATATTTCCAAACGTATAATAGTTTTTTAATGATCTTTTACATTAGGTACCTGTTGGCTGTTATTTAATGTAACGTAAAAAGTATATTTTCTAGATTAAAACTTATTAAAGCAAATTTATACGAATTGGTTGGAACATGGAAGAAAGAG